GGAAGGAAGGAAGGAAGGAAGGAAGGAAGGAAGGAAAGAAGGAAGGAAAGAAGGAAGCGTATAACTTTTACCCTCCAGTAATACAACTCATAATAATACCAAAAATGCTTATCTTTTATTCAATAACATACTGCTGCTCTTTCATTGCTGTTCCTGGTATCTATTTGCTACATGTTCTGTTCTATACATAGAGCTGGTTCAATGTGTATTGCATAAACACACATATCCAAAAGAGAGACAGGTTTAAGCTGGTTGCTTCTGTATCTGCTCATTTGGTGAGGAACCATTTTCAGGAGCATTGCCTATGACACACTGGGATGGCCTTAGTCAAGTGTCAAGCAAGCATTAGTGTTGAGGTATCAGCTTTGGAGGATAGGAACTATTGGAGAGGTAAATAGATGAAATGTCAAAATTCCTGGCTCCACATCTCTCCAGCGTTTGCTACTCTGATGGCCACCACACCCTACCAAATCTTAGGGCTTGCTTTCACAATTGGTTACATGATATCTAAATGCAGGTAGTTTTGGAGAAAAAGAAGAAACCGCAATAACTTACTTTTGTTCCTGGAATTCCAGGTTCACCCTTCAAAATAAATAAATGAATCATTTTAGATGACAGATGCAAATAATAACAATAATTAAATAAACAGGCATGAGAAAATAAAACTAATAAAAATGAAAATACTAGTTCAAATTGATCTTAAAACTATCTTTTCCAGTGCAGTAAAATTCAATTCTTTCACCAACAACTGATGCAATTTCTCTTAAATAACCTGGGGTTATTGCATTTTATGGATAACAGATTTCAAGCACTTATTTCAAAAGGTTTATGTTTAAATTCCATGATAAGTAAGAAGTAACTTTAGACTGCAGAAATGCCCCTTTTAATTGACTGGGAGGCTTCATGAAAAGTTTACTTTTCATTACTTCAATGTTAAAATTAAGGAGTCAAAATGTAAACATGGGGATGTTCCTGATTTGTACCTTCATGCTACTCAAAAGGAAGATCACCAGAAAGGTAAGTGGGAGTTCCATTTCCCTTCCTGACATGTGCATGGGCCCTCAGACATTTGCCCTCAGAATTTTAGGGCAAGCATTTTTTCCTCACCAACCTCTTTCTTCACTACTTCACGCAAAGAGAAAAAGACATGAATCTAATTAACTGATACACTGATTGGAGATAGAAGTAATTGGATGTTTCTGACTATTTGCATACTCAGAATTAGATTGTTACAAGCTGTTTTTAAAAGACAACTGTGTGGGAAACTATATTTTATAGTGCTTATCTCATTTATTCTCTTTTAGCTCGACCTCTTAGATTTGTTTGATATTCTACAACTAAACTGAAAATATTTTTAATAGTTATGACCTTTTACAATAACACACTAATACAACAAGCTGCACTGGAACAATAAAGTCATATAAAAAGTGTGGAAGAAAATACAGTGTATACTTCTATAAGACTGTAGCCATTTTCCCCCTAAAATATAGCAGCTAGCAGTGGTGATATTAAGTTGGTGAGCTTTCAATATTCTTATTCTGGGATCTGGAATTTCAGCCAATGAAAATACCATTTAAAAGAAATATTATTCTAAAGAAACGGGTTTAAAAGATAATAAAATGTGTGAAGTGACACAGAACTACTTAAAAAGGAGGCTCATGATGGCACACAGTTTAGTTCGGAAAGTTACTCATCAATGCAGACTGTTTGTTTCCTTCCTGTATACTACTTTAAATCTAGCTACTGTTATTTTCTGTTAGGTCAGGAGAGATGGAGAAACAATTAGATTAGGAACCAAAAGTGGATGGAAGTAAACAATAGTGATTACTGTCAAGGATGAAAGGAAGTCAACCATTAAAGTTATTAGACACAGGACACAGAGACTAAGAAAACAGGGAAAAACCTTTGAGTTATACTTACCTATCGCATATTTAATATGGGAACAATTCATTATATATGGCTTTAATATATATATATTGCATACTAACCGTGACACCAGCTTCTCCTTTCTCACCCTAAAAAAGACATAAATATACATTTTTCAAATTAGACCAACAATATATTTCACTTCAAAATCTGTTTTCTAAAATCCTTTCTACCAGCATAACAGTGAGGGAGAGAAACGTGGAGATGCAAATATCACATTGCATTTTGTTTTGAGAAAAAAAATACTTCAGGTATTCCATTGACTTAGAAATCACCGTTTTACCAGGTCACTCAAGCGACATGCAGATAACACCACACGATCAATAATCAGACTTAATAATGAGCACAATAGATTCCATCTCATTTAATGGTTTTTGGTAAATAAAACTCTACAGTTCCTCGGATTCAAGGATAGGATGCCAACAATTAGTTATTAAAGAAAAGATTAAGAATGGCTAATGCATAAAAAAAAACCTATCCTGAGAATAGATTTTTCTAATAGATCTGCCATTGCTCAATGGAATAATCACACCGAATTTCTTCACATTATTCAAATAATTGCTGTTCTAGCAAAGAAAACAAAATGTTGTCAAACCCTGAAGCTTAGTACATAATTACTGTTTACAAATAATAAATCCTGATAAGGTTATCCAATGCATTTTATTGCAAAATTATATTGGACAAGCTAATATATATATAAAAAACCCATTGACTCTAAATAAAATAAAACTTGATGGCAAAGTTCAGTCAAGATATTGCCTCTTTCACTTACTCTCTATTATAACAATACTATCCTTTTCCTTCCACTAAGCTCTTCAGACATTTATGATCAAGTTGGGTATATCACTTAAAGATCTCTTAGCTTACATGCATCACGAGGAGAATCTCCCTCAAACCATGCATGTTAGTTAGCTTTGTTATTATTTATATCTTACAGGAAGACCTTGTGGTCCCTTTGGGCCATCTTTTCCTGTGTCTCCAGGGGGCCCTCTTGAACCTGGCTGTCCAGGAGGCCCAGGTGGGCCAGCAGCACCATCTTTACCTTGGTCTCCCTATAAGAAGTTTAGACAAAGCATTATAACATGGAGGGGGTGGAGCGCCTTCCTAATAAATGGATTGTATTATCAAATACTAGGAGCATGGTGGTTGCTGGCTTGACAAGTAGCAAGCTCGCGTTCGAGACCCAAGTGCTGCCGTGAGGAGGGATGAGCTTCCGTCCTTCACGCCAACTCCTACCATGGACATGAAAGGCATTCCCAATTATTCCCCTGAATAATGGTGATGTCACAAGCTAATCCTTTCAACCCAGAAGGATGTTGGTTCTCTGACATGAGTAAAAAAAAAATACTGTGTAGAAAGATGGAAAGCACCAGGAGACTATATATGGGTCTTTGTTATGTTTTAAAGTCCTGCAATGAACCTTTAGACTGCACGTTAATCAAACTTTATGGCGTATAACTTTTAAAGACTTCTTTTGGGTGTATTTGATAACAAATATTGNTCTATCTATCTATCTATCTATCTATCTATCTATCTATCTATCTATCTATCTAATCTTTTATCTATCCATCTATCTGGGTATCATCTAGCAATAGCAATACCACTTAGACTTATATACCACTTCACAATGTTTTACAGCCCTCTCTAAACAGTTTACAAAGTTAACATATTGCCCCTAACAATCTGGGTCCTCATTTTACCGACCTCAGAAGGATGGAAGGCTGAGTCAAACCTGAGCTACTCAGAATTGACTTGCCGAACTGCTGGCAGTCAGCAGTCAGCAAACTTAGCATGCAATACTGCATTCTAACCACTGCACCACCTATCTCCACCTACCCACCGACCCACCCACCCATCCATCCACTTATATATAAAACTCCTTTATTTACACAAAGAATTCATTAGTTCAGAGAATAGTATGATCATATCACACGTTACCTTGAGAGCTTCCAAGATCCTACCATCGTAGTCAATTACTACTGTATCACCCTGTTCTCCTTTATGGCCTGGAGGTCCCTGAAAAGATAAAGTTATTGCAATGTTCACGCTAACAGATATAACACTCTACTATTCACATACTATTAGCATGCCTTAGTAAATTATTATCCACTGTAAGGAAGAATCAAATATCACCTACACTGCTAAAGTCCCAAGAAAGGCCTAGCTGTTGACTGTCCTGACCCCAATCTTGCTATTTTTAAAGACAATTAATTATCAAGCCCAGCTCCTTTTCAACAGTGCTGATACAGCTGGAGAAGTCCTTTCCATAATAAAATGTTAAAGTCCCTCTTAAAACATTTTGTTAAAACTGTTTTGTTATTCAGAACTTTTTATCATCACGTGAACTTTGAACCATCAAAGATGAAATTGAGATTTCTTCTGGGAAAGAAACTTAATTATGTTCTTTCATTGTTTTGTTCTTTTTGTTATATACTACCTTGGGGGATTTCTATTTTGAAAGTTAATCGACAAATATGCAAGTTCAAGGATGTGAACTCTCAGAAAGGTACTAATAATAGTTTCTAACTGCACTTTTCCATTCAAGGAGAATTCTTTAATCCAGTAGAAGCATCTGTAAATGGAGAAAAAGAGGGGGATTTTATTGATACCCCCTTCCCCAATCTATTACAATTGTCCTCCCTGAGGATTTAGTAAGTATTTGAATGCTATGAGAAATAAAAGGAGTGTCTTTTCCAATCAGTTTCAGATGAACTAAAACTGTAGAACTGGAAAAATCCCAATTTACTCTTTGTAAAGTTGGAAAACTTTGCTGTAGGAGAAAGTAATATGTTCTTCAAATTATTTATCTTATTTTTCTGTAAGGCTCTAATCAATCTATAACAGTGGAAATGATTTTAGTATTGTACTTGTTTGAAAGCATAGTGTATTTGAAAGTACATGTATATACAAAACAGATTCTACCGGTACTTGTTGTAACCCTTTATATTTATATGTCCCACACAATTTCCTGAAAACATAACTCCAAAACATTTATATTAATTATAACTTTTAGTTGAATTAGGGTGCAGGTCCAAACACAGGTTTGTGCAATAATGTTCATAATTACCATATTGTATGTTTGTCCCAGTTCCATTTAAACTATTGGGAAATGGGAAATTGTGACTTATGTATTTTAGGGCACTAACTCCACCACCTCCCCCAGGAAATTCATACCCTTGGCCCGATATATCCATCTGCTCCCTTCTCACCAGGCTCACCCTGAAAATTGAACAAAAACAATAAAGAAGATTAATTTAGAGAATTAAAGATAGAGAAATTGACCATGTTGATTTGAGCTGTTAAGAGATTTAATTTAGTGAAAATTTGGAGAGTAACTTTCCCCACCTAGTTTAAAGAAAAAATAGATTTATATGACTTCTGGAGGAACACAATATTAGCAGCAACAGCAGCTTTAAAAGCTTTCAACATAATCTAACTATAAAATAAACCAGACAGATCAGATTCAAGACACACAAGCCTCCTGCCAACACTGAATCCTCTGAATATGTAAGATTATGTATATCACAGGACTGGAAATCCAAGCAGTTTGAAATAACCCTGAAATTTAAATGACAAAAAAGCAAAAAGATAACATGACAGTAATCTCAATGTTACAGATTAGGAATGTTGCCACATTTAAAAGGACAGTACCTTCAGGCATTTTGAAGTACTATTTCTTTCCACTTAAAAGCACAAAGCAAGCAATAATCAACTTTAGTATTCAATTTACAAGTACTAATTCAAGTCACAAGGGTGACTTAAATTGACCCTGTATAAACAAATACTTAAAGAATAAACACATACATAAATTTAACATCTATACGAGATTGCTGGGAGAAGTCATCCAGTGGAATTGGATTTGTTATCATCCGTACATTGATGATACCACAGCTATATATCGACACCCCCAGCTGACCAAGAATTGCTGTCCTGTGCTGGCTATAGAGGCTATAAGACTTTGGATGGGGAGGAATTGGCTTCAACTCAACCACAGCAAGGCAGAGGAGATACGATGAGGCATCATCTTTGACTCCAGCTGTGAATAACTTGGGGTTCCTCCTAGATTCATGGCTTCTGCTCAACAGGTAGCAATTGTGGCTGGGGCTGGGATGTGTGTGTTTGGAGCTTTGTATGGATTGATTTATGTATCAGTGGAACTCATTCCTGGACTGGGAGGCCTTGATCATGGTTGGTCCTTCATGCTCTGGTCACTTCCTGGTTGGATTACTACAATGTGCTCTATTTGAGGTTGTCTTTGAAGACCAGATGGAAATTACAATTGATCCAAAAATATGATGGCATGGACAGTTCTGGGCATCTCATTGCTTGTCATTACACTGCTGGTGTGTGAACTGCACTGGCTCCCAGTTTCTTTCTCGGTGTGATTCAAGGTTATCATCTTTAAAGAATGAATGGCACAAGCTTATTTGTGGGGCCACCTTCTGCTGAGAATATCTGCGATTCTTCTAGGCCTGAAAAGGTAAGTGCACGCCAGGTCCCTCTCTTAAATGTTTATTTATTAAATTAAGAGGAGTATTCATTCATGGGTTGATGGGTTCTTCTTTTCCACAGAAGTGAATGGCACCTCAGAGATCTCTATTTTGGGTATTGCCAGCTTAATTTTTCTAGTCTCTTCTTTCAGCAAGAGAAAGTTAAAGAAATACCTGCTGGCTGAATAGTTGAGAAAGGATAATGTCAATGGCAGAGGTAGTCTTACTGTTCTGCTATTTCCAGAATGAAAATCAACGGATGTGCTAATCATACCATGCTTTTCTCATGCTCCCCTTACCTTCAGCCCTGGTAGCCCATCTATGCCTTTTTCTCCCATTTCGCCAATGCTTCCTGGTTCTCCCTGCAACATTTGAAAGATGCACAATGGAAAACAGATGTCAAACAAGTCAACATTCAGCTATGGTAGCCTTTCCCTTTCTTCACTTTTGGTTCTGTAGCTTGTTTGCATCTTTTTAGACCACTGGGCATAACCTGCCTTACAGACTTCATGTGTCTTCAAGAAGAGCAATTGAAATGGAAAATTTGTTTTCAAGCATCAATTAACTAATTTAATCCCAGGCATCCTATACCTGTGAGCTCGGGGGGCCTGTTTACACCTATTCTTCAATAGTGGCCAATGTTTCTTGCTCTTCTAAACACCTTGGAAAGAGATGTTGTATAAAAGTGCAAAAGAGAGCCAGTTGGCCTAGTGGTTAAGGTACCAGGCTAGAAAGTGGGAGACTGTGATTTCTAGCTGGGTGACTTTGGGCCAATCACTCTGTCTCAACCCAGCCCACCTCACAGGTTTGTTGTTGTGCGGAAAACAGGAGGAGGAAAACATGTTTGCCACCTTGAGTTATTTGTAAAAATAATAAAGGCAGGATACAAACAAATAAACAAATAAAGAAGGAGTGAAAGGGAGAGAAAGAAAGAACTCTCTGTTCTTTAGCAGAATACATTAATCTGTTTTCCTCTTTCATTTGAAGTGGTTTAACATCATCTTGTATTCGAAAGGAATTCAAGGGAATCAACAAAATGTACAAAGTAAAAGCTAAAGTAAGAACCTGAGGTTTATAAAAAATAAACACTATAATCTTATAATTTTTTTTAAATGATTAAATTAGCTTGCCCCATTAGAAACTCTTTTTTTAAAAAAGGGTAGCTGCTGCTATTTCAAAACATTCTCTAACTTCAGTCTGAAGAAGCAACTTGAAACAAGATCTTTTCCCCATTTGGGCTAATACATCCTGGTTGTTTAAAAGAAATCCAGGAAAAATTTAATTTTTAAGCAAAGCACATGCTAGTCTTATTCTCTTTGAACTCCAGAAGTCCATTTGTGCCTCTGTCCTTCCCTAGGGTAATGTTTGCTTGCTTGCAATATCTAAAAGTGGTGGTCAGACAATTCCTGAGCTGAATGCAGGACGTTCACAAATCACATGATGCTATTTAATTAGATGCTCACCTTTGACCCTGGCAGCCCCTGAACGCCATTGTCTCCTTTTGGCCCAGAAGTTCCTGTCTCTCCCTAAATTTAAAAAGAATCATGTATCAATTAATACTTGAATAATAATCATAATCATATTAAAATAACTGATTTTATTTGCATTGCATCTGAATTCTAAATGCAGTTCAAACTTCTTTGTTCAAACTGTTATATTTGCTTAACTATTAATAAAGTCCAATTATCATTTAGCCAAATAAATATAAATTTTTAGTGATATACAGGTAGCCGTTGCTTACTGATTGCCTGTTTAGCAACTATTTGAAATTAGGACAGTATAAAAACAAATAGCTTTGTGACCAATCCTCATATTTATGACTGTTGCAGTGTCCCATGATTGCCTATGGGACATTTGTGACCAGTTTGCAACAAGCAGAGTTAATGGAGAATGTGGAAGTGAAGTTGTACGTCGCAGCCCAAGGTGTTTCACTTAATGACCTAAGGGTAAGTGAGAAGATAAATCCATTGTGGTCAAGTGATTTTCCACTTAGTGACCATGGAATTGCCAATTGCAATTGTAGTCACTAAGGTAGATTCATATACTTTGCCTGAAATACCAGTAGTTGTAAATTATCTTGTATACTTGTATCTCAATCAATACAAGTATTAAGAATCAAATATTATGGACAAGTCAACAGATATTCATGAAATTGAAATTAGCTACAAAAATAAAGATTCTTTTTNGCATGCGTGCGCTGTGCGCATGCATGCGCACGTTGCGCACGTGCACGAGGATGCCACCGGCCCCGTTCCAACCGGTTCGGCGAGAAACCCACCCCTGATTGACTATTGTACAGATACTATTCTCACTGTACATGGCATGCAGTGCATGCAAAAACTCAGCAATGAACCTAGACAGATTTTGGGGATTGGAGCATATTATTGTAATGTTTTTCTTAGCTTTGTATGAATAGCTGATGAAGCACAAGTGATGCTAACATCACAGATCACGAATAAAATGAAAAACACAAGAAAGGCAAACATATTTGATTTATGTAACAAGCAGGAGGATGGATTGCAAAAATATCTTATGATTGCTTAAATTTATGAGTTGTTGATAGTAGCAGTTCTTGTAGACTGGATATATGGACACTTAAGAATGAACATTGTGGCCTAATGCTCACAGGATGGAGTAGAAATGAATCCTGTATTAGGATGTAACACTGCAAACCAGTGGTGGGTTCCTAACTGGTTTACTACCAGTTTGCTACGTGTGCGCGCGCAATTGAATGAAAATTACTCAGAAAAAAAGGAAAACAGCTGAGGAGCCCCATTTCAATTTGTCGCCGCAGATCAGCTGGGCTTCAGAAGCTGGAATAAAGGTAAGTATAACCCAGGGGCGGTTGGGTGGATCCACTTTTTAAAAAAAACAGAGAACTGGTTCTCTCTTTGTTTGAAGGCAGCACAACTGCTTTGGGAGAACCGGTCCAAACCGGTAGGAACCCACTACTGTTGCAAACTGCAAGCAGTACAGTGTATTAATTTATCTGCTGTTTCTGAAAATTAGTTCTATGCTCTTTAAATATGAAATTCATATGAGCGGAGATAATTTCCATGCACACAACATATTCTTTGTATAAGATGCTTGGCAGTTTGCTTACTTTCTTGCTGACATTTGCAATTCTTGTAAAGCCACAGTAGATTTCACGTTTTAATCTATGGAAAATCTGAGTAGTCATGACATATATTCACCATGACTTTCCCTTAGTGGGGGAGAGGAAGAATTAAATCTGTTTTCATGAAGGCGACCCCTGTATTCTGTCAAATGGTAAAGTAACGGAATGATAATTGAAATGTTTATTATGATTAAAAAGTAAGTAATTTTTTAAAATATTATTTTGATGCTTTTACAGTGAAACACAGGGAGACAGGCATAGGGGCCTAGCATGCTGTGGTCCATGGGGGTAAGAAAGAATTGGACGCGACTGAACTACAACAGTGAAATACAATTCTGATTCTAATTGCCACAACACTCAAGTATATTCAATTTAGTTTATGACACAAAACAGTAAGATATCGTGTCAGTGCGTGAAAAACAGAAGAATAATACAGAAGAGAACAGAAGAGCTTAAATTAAGAAAAGCCAACAACCTCTCAAGAAAACACAGCAAGCCAGAAGATTAAAAGTGATTCTACCTTAAGGATACGTCGGCTAAAAATATGCTGGTCAGAGAGAAATCCATGACTGAGGCGAGGAAAAGCCATCTAGTCAATGTATGTCAGCAAAGAAAAAGAATCAAGACAAAGAAGATAGAGAAAATGGTAAAGGCATTTTATACAAGAACTCCAATAGGAAGCAAACAATTGATATAATCAGAAACAGCATTAATTGATTCAAAACCAAGCTGTTAATGGGTGACAGCAGAATAAACTACTCTATTACTGTAGTTCACATGAGACAATTTGTGACACCGCTCCCCCAGCCCCCCCCCAACCACCTACAGTCTCCTGAGATATGGGTTTGTTTACATAGGTTTGCATACAGATGATGTACTTGTTCCACAAAGCTAAAACTTTGACTAACAAAAACAAAACAAAGGAAGTATACTTAACTCTTGTCTCCGTAGATCAAAATGTAAGTTGACAAATGCTAGTTGGCAAACTAGCCAAACTGTTAGAGTAGTTTAAAGCTGGGGATATTCAATTTTAATTCAATTTATTGAGTTTGTATGCCACCCTATTCCCGAGAGACTCAGGGCGGCTCACAATAAAAAAGGGAGG